TCTCTCTCTCTCTCTCTCTCTCTCTCTCTCTCTCTCTCTCTCTCTCTCTCTCTCTCTCTCTCTTTTTGTGCCTGCAATCAGCGCCAGGTGGCGCAGCCCACCCCACATTTTTTGACTGTTGCTCTCTCTCTCTCTCTCTCTCTCTCTCTCTCTCTCTCTCTCTCTCTCTCTGTGTGTGTGTGTGTGTGTGTGCATCCACATGTTGCTCTCTCTCTCTCTCCCGCTACCCCGCCGTCCGCCGCAAGCTGTACCCCGCCATCGCCCACTACATCTCTCTCTCTCTCTCTCTCTCTCTCTCGGTCGCGCGTGCAAGGCACGCCGTCCTCGCTGATGATGGCTATGGCCGTTGCGCAGTGCAGCTCACCAGCGTACACGCCGGGAGGCAAGGGCTGGCAAAAGTGGCGGGCCTGTGGGACGGACGTTCGGGTAGTAGGCAGCAAGGCATCCCGTTCGGGCAGCAGGCAGCAAGAGGGGTGGCGGCGGTCGTTTTTGCTGTTGCTGCAACGGCCGCAGCAACGGCCGACAGACCGCTACGATGCCACCAACGACCGCCCTTGCCCCGCCGCCAGCGATGTGTCCCAAATGGGACAAATGGCCACTACCGGTTTGTTTGTTTTTTTTTCGTTTTCTTTATTTTCACAATGAAAAAGTCTTTTTTCTTTCTTGGTTTTCCCGCCCACCACGGTTTTGTCCGGTTTGAGTCGAAGTCGGCCCCCCACCGGCCCTACCCCTCTTCTATTCGAAAACGGAAGAGGTCCGAGGCGCCCCCGAGCCTTTACCGGGCCTGTTTGGGAGCTCCTTGAATTCAGGAGCTCGTTTTTTTTTATCAGGGCGGGGTACTGGTGGTTTATAGTCTCCCGCAGATGTTTGCGGGGGGTTCAGTCTACCCATTTCCCCAAATCAACGCTCTGCGCAACTGGCGGCACGGATTAATTTACAGAGTGGTGTGGGGACCTCGAGGGGACCTCAATGCCCCTTGTTTGGGGCAGGTGCACAAATGGGGACAGTAAGGTTTCGGACTTTACCTTTGCTGACGGGGCATTCCCTACCTTCGCTGACGGGGAATTCCCCATCGTGTCGCACAGCTGGAATGGGGCGTGCCCCACGGTGTCGCACGGCTGGAAGTGCCGCTCCTTCTGCTCAGATTGCTGGTAAAGGAACCAAGCCATGTCGCATCTGTTGCGATTGGGAGGATACGCGCCACATCCACAAAAGACAAAGTATGGCGGTGTATCTTCCCATGTTCTAGTAGAAGATTCATTATGATTTTGCACATTTGGTGAGTAGTGGAGCGAGGCCCATGGTCCCTTATGTAAGGATGACACGCACACATCGATAGACAGTCGCAGAAATAAAATCACCCTCGATGCTGGGATAGTCGGTAGAAAGAGCCCACGCCATAACCTTCCCGTTTCCAACAAAAAAAAAAAAAAAAAAAAAAAAAAAAACCTTCCCGTTTTGGGCGCCCGAAAGTCGGCCGTTTCTTACTACCGGCCCAAACCGTCTTCAGCCTCGGTGAAAGGGGGGCCTCATTGGAGACTTCAGCGGTACCACCGTCGGCCTCTTTTACATCAAAATGAATCTGGCGCTGTTTATGCGCCAGATTCATGATCCGGTAGTCAGTAGCAGGAAAAGTAGCCCTGACTGAGGGCATGCTCTCACGAGGACCTCATAACCTAAATTCCGAAATTTTGAGGTTGATTTCCGCGGTCAAATTCTCTTTTCAATTTATTTATTTATTTATTTATTTTTTCAAATCTTACATTTTCCAAAGAAATTGTAAAGATTCATG